TTAAAACAAAAGGAAAATAAAAAAAGATACGGGCCATAATAAAAATAAAAAAAAAACACGGGTATGACACAAACTTCTTCGTGTGTTATTGCTGATATTTACATGTTATCGGCTTATGTGCTTATTTTTTTATTATTTACTTATTGCACATATTAGCTGACTAAGTAACAAAGGACGCAAGCGTAGTTTAAAAACCGTTGTGTCATATGTTTTTTAACATTGCAGTACTAAACAAAGATTTTTTCACAAATCTGTCAGAATGTGTTAAAAATCAACACAACAAAAGTTTGCTATTATTCCAATTCAATTCCTATTAAAATGTAATTTTAATTTTTCTGTGATTTTTGACAATTATGTATGTCATCGAAACATATGACGTCACAATCAGTCAATTTCGGAAAAAAATGGTAAGAATATAAATTTAAACATATCGCCAAATCAATTAATAAAAGTGTGATAATATTTTTATAATTTATTTATTGAAATTACTATTGTAATGGATTGTATATCATTTTATGTTGTATGGTTGGGATATATATATATGGACACAATATATTGTGTCCATTCATATCATTCAGTTCCGTTTGTTCTGTTACAAAATGCTGTGACTCTTGATATCCGTAATGTACGCGGTTGCTCACAGTTATTTTTACCTAAGCATAACACATTTTTTTTTGTGAGGGGAAAATCATTAAATGACTTCTCCCGCCCAGGGCCGGGCAGGAGGGAGTGTCAGACTCTTACTGACTAAAAACCCCCCTGTTCCTTCTCCTGCTCTGTGCCGAGGTCGCGGTACCTCATTGCGCTTACCCGGCAACCCCGGCTGAACATCAGCCCTTTAGGGCCCCGTCTGTGGTGGTCTATTGGCTCTTTGAGGCGCGCGCGGAACGCTACGCGCCGTACTCTCGGGCCTGGTTCTGGTCGGGCGGCGAGCTGCCCTTACTCGCCGACCGCAGGCCCGTGCTTACGGTGGCCGGAGATCGTCCCTCGATCCCCGACGCACGTAGTGTCGCCAGTTGCGGCGGCTGGGGCGTGAGGAGGAAGATTGCTCCCTCACGCGGGCCGCCTCTCTTTGCGAGCATGACTGCTTCACAAAAGGAGGAGACGGCGTCCCAGTTCCTCTCACTCCGCACCATGGCCTCGACTAAGGCCGGGCGCGAGAGGTCGCCGCCGCCGATCACTTCCCTGAGGACACGGCGGTGCTCCACGTATCCTCTAGGTGGTCCTCACAATGGCGACACTCGGGCGTTTCCTCCCACTGGGTCCGAAACAGGAACCTACCGAAGCTGCCGTGCCCGGTAAGCACCTGCGTCAGACGGAAGGTGAGGACGCCGTGGCGTCTCTCAAGCCACTCTCAAAGAGGGGTCTTACCGCTGCTATAGTAGCGTGCCCGGCCATCGGTTGCGACAGTCGTTGTTTCCACTCTGCCATGAGATCTCGCCGGAGCTCATTCCGCCACGCACTAATTTGGCGCGGCAGAGGATCTTCGCCCCGGCGACGCGCGTCTGCGCGCAAACTGTAGACGCGCGCGAGCGCCTTCGCTTCTAGATCCCACGGCGGTGATCCGGCAAGGAGGTTCGCCGCCTCCCCGGAGATCGTGCGATATCCGCGGATTATTCGGATAAGCATAACACATGATGTGACATTATACCTTTGTATGTTAATTTCAATTAAGACATACAAGAAACAGAGACAGAGAGACTTTGGAAATAACCTCCTCTATTCTAATGATTATGGAGTAAACTGTTAGAAAATGGGAGGGACAAAGTTATGACCATTTTCCAAAATTACAGATTGCTGTATTTCATTTTTCAATTTTGTGATAGGATGTCTTTACTCTGTAAATATAGATGCATTTAATAATAATACGCTTAATTTAATTACTTACAATACTTACAATTTGGCGAAAATTTATTTAATTTCCAAATGGTTTTTTCTAAAAAAAATAACCTAAGGAAAGATGGCCATGCATCGAAAAAGATTCACGATTCATACAAATTACATATTTGGTGGTTTTATCCATGTAGGTATTGAGTAATGAATTTAAATATCTTAAATGCACAACATGCCTCTTACGATTCTAGTATAAGTTCTCCAAATAAACGTAAAACTTACTTCAGAAGTTGTTAGGTTACAGATTAATGTATACTTTCATTTTTTATTTATTTAATTTTATCTGATAGTGACCGAGATTAGCCAGGCGCTAGATAAATGTGTGTATTAGAATCGAAAGGAAATGTTTAATCTATAAAAAATTAGATTACTTAATTTGTCGCTATGCGCTGAGCTTATAAGAACGGCTGTGGCGGACGGTGCTATTCAACTGAACTAAACTTAAGGTCTCGTCTACTTTTTGCAATTGGTTTGCATAACTATGCCTTGTGTAGTCAGTTATGTTTTATTTATTTATTAGCATTACTATTTTATACATGGTCATAATTTAAATATTAATATGTCTCAGTACTGAATCACTAATGTCATGAACTATTTAACATTTTAATATATTATTGTCCTATAATTTTGAATAAGTACCTACCTAATTATTTTTCTTAGATGAGGTATTTTTTTACTGTGAACTCCAAACTACTTATGTACTTTTAAATGTTATTTACTCTTACAGTTTTAGTACGGCAACCGAATAAAAAAGGTCTTGCATTAATAAATGGTTCTAAAATTATTGAACATCGAGTTAAAGACTTGTTATTATTAGCCGTTGTCCTACTGCAGGGCGTATGCCTCCTTAGAAAATTATAACTGCTGAAAACTAGTAAAGACTATCGAATACCTAAGACAGTAAATAATAAACAAACTTACCTTATGGATGAGTCAATGAATAATAGTACATTGTGGTACAAGTGTGTAATGGTGGTGATTACCGCAGAGGCGCATTTAGGCCCGAGCCATTAGTCGAGGGTCTTATTGAGCCGAGGATGGCAATCATCAATACACACTTGTATCATACGACGTTTTTTAACACACTTCCGAATAAAATTATTACTTCAACAGAGAAAACGAGACGAGTTGTGAAAAATGTTTCGTAATGGCGGGAAAAAATTATCAGTTTTGGTGTGCGCGCGCATCGGCCATAGACTAAAAAAATATGTTTCTTTTTTTAAACATTTCGCGGATAGCATTTTAGCTCAAGTTTAAGGGTAACTACACCAATAATTTAAAAAAAGAACTTCATTACTCACTTGTGACAATATATATGTAATAGTACCTAATGAAAAAGTCACAGTTTGATTATAGGTGTCATTACATGCCTAAGTAATTAAATTATATTAAACGTCAAGCCTACCAAAGTATTTCAATAAATAATTTTCGCGTTACCTAATACCCGCGGAATTATATGTTGCCTAAGTAATTCCCGCGGGATTAGAACCACTTTATGAGGAAGTGTGTTGAAAATTGTATTTTCATATCAATTTAATTTCTTGTAGGTATTCCGCTAAGTACTAAGTTTTTTGAAGGTGAAATTTTTAGAAAGTACTTGTTTTAATCTATATATTATCTACAAAATTGCATATCTTTTTACTGTGTTAAATCGAATGTTTTCATTTGATTGTGTTGTTGTTAATTTAATAATGAGTTATTAAATGTTTTAGTATGTTTTGTAGGTTTTTGTGTAATCTCTAAAACAAACTCTTCAATAAATTTTATCAATCTTATGGTGGCACGGGCACAAGCTTTTTCATTTCCCTATAATATACTTGAGTTGGGAGGTAAATCATCATCATAAGGGGTCATCAGCTCTTCACTTTACTTTCTTCCTTAAGGTTATTTTTATGGTTCTTTTTTATATTATAAAACGGCAAACGAGCAGACGCTAATTGCCTGATGGTAAGCAATCGGCGCCGCCCATGGACACCCGCAACACCAAAGGAGTTACGAGAGCGTTGTTGGCCTTTTAAGTATAAGGGTTGCGGATATGAAATTGGAAAGGGATAGGGAAGGCTCACACACCCGGCGAAACCCAATGGTGTGGTTGTTTCATGCCGGTTTTCTGTGAAGCCGTGGTATCACTCCGGTTGAGCCGACCCATTCGTGCCGAAGCTTGGCTCTCGCACACTTACTCTTCCTTTAGCTAAACACCAGTGCTACGCTGTCCTCAAATAATGAAACGGACTTACTAAAGTAAGAAACACGTTGTTTGTGAGAATAATTAAAAAAGAGGAACCATAGATTCTCTTAGTCGGTCTTTTCCATCGGGATCTTCACGAGCAAATAGCTCGACTGAACAGACCGACAGACTGACACTTTCCAACTTCAAATAGTTTACATTTTTTGCTTGACATTCAAAAGTGTTTTAAGTCTGATCAAAATAAATGATTTTACTTTAACTATCCGCATTTACCGAATATTTTCCGCTATATTTTGAATTATATAATTATGATTTCATTTTTACGAATCATATCAGTAATTTGTATTTATGGAAGATAAGAACGTGTTAACTGTGTATTTGCTTACACTGATAAGTATAAGTAGCTTTAGTCACAGGATTTAGAATACTCTAGCAGATATTATTATATTAGTACTTATATGGTTTAGATATTTTCACCGTGTTTTCATTTTTAAATTATCCTAATTTCTACGTATATCTACTATGAAATAAACAACTAATACTTGAATAGATATTTTGTCTTCTTATTACATATATACACATACACTTTTCACCAGACTTAGCTCAACTTTCATAAAACGCGGGAACACCTGTACCACAGACTACCGTCAAACGTCATAGTGATGTTCCGATACATAAATCTCGACAACTAGTGTGGTTCTACGTAGATCGGTTTTCTTTGTCTAATATGTAATTTTTTAACTACCAGACTCATCACGCATCTATAAGTCATTTGACTGCACGATCGACGCGGTGACTGGTTAACCGGCTGTCGTTCAATGTGTCGCGGGTTCGATTCCCGTATGGACAACACCGATTGCTTAACAACCTGTCTGCTTATTTAGCTCAATATTAAAACAATTTCCAAATATCGTTGCAGATGGAGCCACCAACTTAAAGTGGGCGCTGGACAAAGTTATCTACACAACCCGGGATCTGAACCCCTCGTGTACGATACACTAGGCGAGGTTCTAGAACAAACAGTCAACAAATACCCGGACAGGATCGCCATCAGATCACTTCATGAAGATATTACCATCACATACGCTGAGTTATTAAAACAGGTACATTAGTTAATGTACTACTTTTAATATATATTCAAGTGTGGGGGAGCCAAGCTTTGGCACGAATGGGTGGGCCCGACCGGTATGATACTACGACCTCATAGAACCCGGCGTGAACAACCACAGCGTGTGTTTTGCCGTATGGGGGAGGTTACCGGAGGTACAATCCCTCTCCCTCCCCTATCCCTTACCATTCCTTAAATATCCAAAATCCTAAAAGGCCGGCAACGCACTCGTAAGTCCTTTGGTATTGGTTTTTTTTATTTGGTCTATGGGCGGCGTTGATTGCTTACCATCAGGTAATCCGTTTGCTAGTTTATCCGCAGACGGCAAGCAAACGTAGCGTGCCGCCGGACCAGAAACAGGGTCTGTTTCTGGATGTACGGCGCGTAGCATTCCGCGAAATCTCAAAGAGCCAATAGACCACTACATATGGAGCCTAATAGGGTCAATGTTCAGCTGGAGTTGCGTGGCAAGCTCCATAAAGTACCGCGACCTCGGCCTGGAGCAAGAGAAGGAAGGGGGGGGGGGGGGCTTTTTCAGATAGCAAGGGCCCTAATAAAAGAATTAATTTGATGAATATTTCCTCACAAATTACAAAACAAACCATACCATTATAATATTAATGCTGTATTTAGGTTTGACGTAAGAGTTACGTAAACAGCTTACAATAAAAATGTAAAATACTGTTAAGAATGACATTTATAATATTTTATAATAATAATTACTTGATTTTATTTATTTATTTGTCACTTATTTACTTATTAACTGCAGTGAAATTCGGTAATCCTACCGATAGGTTTCTGTCAATTATGTAGATTTATACATTATAAGTAGCTGATTACCATTGAGTTTAAAAACTTAAGGTTTTAATAATAATAAGTCATTTTATTTTATTACATTAACACCCGGTTTCTGAAAGGCTTGTCAACGCTAAAATTAACTAATCTCCTGTTAAATCTCTTTTCAAGTCATCTGATTGGTTGTTGATAATTCAGTCAACCAATCAGAGGACTTGACAAGAGATTAAGTTGATTTTAACATTGATCGGCCTTTCGGAAATCGGGCGTAAGTAAGTAATGTAGATTCATACATAGAATAGATCTTTTTTTTGTAAAGGAAAATTCATCAAATGGCTTCTCCCTAGGTTATAGCGAGAGTGTCAGACTCTTATCGACTAAAAACCCGCCGTTCTTTCTCCTGCTGAGGCCGCGTTACCTTATTTCGCTTGCCCCGTGACAATTATTTACACCCAAGGTCGCGATATCAAAATAACTAAGTTCAATAATTGGGTAGTTTCTTAAATAAAAAATAAATTATTTCGACGTTTCAATACTATAAATTATTGAAAAATAACTAAGTATACTTTAATTCATCGATCGATCGATACACTTAGTTTTAGATATTTTTTAGCTAATTATTAAGAAATAAGTAAGCAATTTGACGCAAACATGTTATGACGTCATAACTCAGTTTTTCATACAAATTTCATAGAAAAGTATCCTTTTTGACGTTTGGATAAAAGTATTGAATTTGACTAGTTGGAAACTACCGTATTTGTATAAGATTTTCTATTAGGCTTAGGATTAATTCTCAGCATTTTTTGTGTATGAAGAGGTAGCTAGGAGGGTACTCAGCCGACGCAAATAGCCTGGTGATGATGATAATGAGAAATTTTTGAAATGGCCTTGGAAAACGGCCGTTTAAACCGATTCATTCATATGTGATGTTCACTAGATCTCTTATTTTGATTGGAATACAATTTTTGTATTAAAGTTTGTATTATTATATGGCATAGTATAGTGTTGCCTGAAAGGGATTTTTTGTATTGTTTGATAGTCGAAGTAATTTAAAATGTTTATTGTATAGTTTAATAAGTTTGTATTGTATTATTTCCAGGCGGACTCGCTAGGCTGTGCACTCCGAGCTCAAGGTCTGCAGAAGGGCGACACTGTAGGGGTATGGTCACACAACAGCGCATCCTGGATCGTCTCTATAGTCGCCGCAGCCAGAGCCGGCCTTATTTCAGTAAGTTTTTTTTTTGTTTTTTTAAAAAAACCCTACACCAGGGTTTTCTTCTGTGTCGCGGGCGTGGGCGGACAGATATCTAAAACGTTCCCGAGTGCTATAGGCATCACGCTACAATCAAATGGAGCCGAGTAGCGGACGAAACCGCGTGAGAGTAGTTAGTAGTAAGTAGTCAGTAAGAGTCTGACAATCTCTCCCGCCTTACCCTGGGCGGGAGAAGTCATTTGATGATTTCCCCTAAGCATCCTCACAAGGCAAGTGAGGTTGCTTACAGAACACGAGGGGAATCTACACAATGTTACTCAAATTATTATTATAACGCTGTCTGTACCCCTCAAGTACGTAGTTACACTGTCATTTCACAACGTCTGTACCTGTGTTACGTTCAAATACACACACGATATACTACGATAGACCCGAAAGTACTGTACCTAGCTGAAATCGAACCCGCTGCACGTTGTACAGAAGCCAGCAATTTTATTGATATATTTAACCAGTTCAATTTGACATTTCAGGTATTAATAAATCCAGTATACGAAAAGAATGAACTAAGTTTCTGTATAAAGAAGACAGGAATGAAGAGTTTAATCATAGGAGGCGCGTTACCAAGGAGAAATTACTACGACAGCTTATCACAACTGATACCAGAGCTACAAAATAATTCCCCGGGCTCATGGAAGTCCAGTCAGTTTCCAACTTTGAACTCTATTATTAATACTGGAAAGGATAAATTAGCGTGAGTAACCGCTGAAAAAAATTTGTATATTATTTCACGATACTTTGGTGACTTGTAGCAGTCGGCTACGCAACGTCGCCGCGACGAGTACTTTTCTCATGAATAAGAGTCCCTTTTTGTTTAGAAACTAGTAGATCTATTCTCAATTAATTCAATTTTAGTCAATTGTTTAATATAACCCTAAGTTTCATTCCTAATTCTATTTAGAATCAATGAAATTTTCAGTAATGTTACAGAGTTTGAAATTCTACCTTTTTGTGCAAGCCATCCCGGCTCCATTATTATTATAAAAGTCCAAAAAATCTGTTATTTAAGGAAATTTAAATTTAGAATGGAAGTTTCCTTTTTAAATTAGTTGTTATACTCGTTGTTTAAGGTAATTAGGACCAGTCATCACGTCTGTGAACTAAAGTCATACTGGTTTATTGTTTCGTTTACAGGGGCACCATACAGTATGATTCGTTGGTGACGGGCTCAGGCAGCCAGATCTCCCAATATGGAGGCGAGGTGAAATCAAGTGACGGCAGTATCATACACTTCACATCGGGCACCACTGGTGAGGTCCGGAGGTACTTACTATGACAGTGCCTTGATGTTCTCCTACCTATATACCTATTTGAGGATCTGCGGACGGCGGGTAAGGGCAGCTCGCCTCCCGGCCAAAACCAAACGGCGGTTGCGGGATAAGGATGAGAGTCTGACATTGTCTCTCGCCTTACCCTGGGCGGGAGAAATCATTTGATAATTTTCCCCTGACAAAAACATCTGTATTTATACGATTCTTTCAATAATAATTTTCTAGAACAGTTGTATTACTCCCGTACATCCATTTAATTAAGATAAATCAATAAGTCATAATTAATAAATGAAGCACATTCTCTCTTAACACTGCTCAAAAATTGAAAATTTATCTATTGGAACTTGATTTGAAAAAAATATTCAATCGTGGATTATCTCTTGTATTGCAGGCGATCCAAAGGCAGCTCTAGACTCTCATATGGGCGTTGTGAACAACACGTATTTTGTAGGCAAGCGAAACACATTAGATGAAGCACACCACACTATTTGTGTACAGGTAAAACAGCAATCATTTACATTAAAAAAATCAAAGATTAAAAAAAGATCATGGTTGAAAAGGAAATCGTAAGACATATTAAATTTATAAAAAATAACAACTTACTCTCTATTACTAATCAAATAAGAAGACCTCTATTGGTTTCAAGTCACAACGGGACTCGTATTCATGCGCAGCGTGTGCGTCGCGGTGACGTAGTTTTTCTCAGCTGATTCACGCGATGAAATCGTTATTTTCAATCCAAAAGATTTTAATTTCACTGTCTTAATTGGCTGAATCGTCCCATACTTAGTAACAAACATGGAAGCCATCAGTGTTATAGGGATTTTTGCCAAAATACTTAGAAGCAGGATATTACATTAAATCATACCTATTCCTCTAATCTTAAAGGGTTAAACTTCAAGATCATGTTATGATGATAGTGTATTTTTTTTCTAGGTGCCATTGTTCCACGCACTCGGATCTATAGTGACAATCCTAGGCGGTTTGAGGCACGGCAGTTCACTAGTATTGGCTGGTCCCATCTACAATGTAGATGACAATATCAATGCTTTGTTTGCTGAAAAGTAAGTATGCGTACTCTTTTGTCTAACTTCAGAAACAAATTAAAATCCATGAAACACGTATAAGATTTTTAATGGATAAAAACTGGTCAAATAACTGAATTACGCTAGTCGATTGATACCTAATGATACCAGTGCGACGTCTTCTAATGCGTGCAAGACATAAGGTTCAGTAAGCCATGCCGGAGCTCATTACCTTTTAGAACATCATTTCACTAGCCTATAATTACCCAATAGTGAGCAAAGGCGTTCTCTTACACAGAGAAGGTTTTTTGAATAAATGACGATGCTTGCTCAAAGCTAATTGGTGATATCAAACTTTCGTTACCACGCTTACCTCTACCATTTTCCAGTGATGTCCAAATTATCCCAGAAAGTGCATAATACTCGTAATATGATTATGTATAGTTCGGAAGTCTCATTTTTGTAAAGTGGACACCTTAACCTTCAGACTAGCACAACATAGCTTCTAGAAGTCTCAGTTAGGTTCAAAACAAAAATATAACTCTTTAAGATCAGTATAATTTGTCCATTTCCTGTTTTCGAACGCCCATTACATAAAAACTGTCTCTTTTTTCAGGTGTTCTGTGATATTTGGTACTCCGACGATGTTTGTGGACATGCTGGCAAAGATCAGGACGATGGGAGATGTCCCATCCAAGTTGCGACTGGCTCTGGCAGCTGGAGCACCCTGCAGTCCACAACTCATTAGAGATATGCAGAAGTATCTTAAGACTGAAACTGTGAAGGTAAGTTTTAAATCAGTACTTATATGTTGAATACTATGCGCAATGGCTACTTGTTGTCCACAAAGTGTAAGAGAGCCATATAGTATTTTCTGGACATCCAGAATACCGGTGTGAAACGATACTTGAGTTGTGTTTCGCTGTATGAGTAAGATAACCGAATAATCCTTTCCCCCATCCCTCTTCAATCCCTAAAACTCCAAAACTCTAATCCCGAAAAGGACAGCAACGTACTCGTAACTCTATAAGATCTATGTTTCTATAGGCGGCGTCGATTGCTTACTATTAGTTAATACGTCCGATAGTATGTCGACTTATTCCATAAAAAAATCAATACACAAAGGATGATCAAAAATTTAAACTGCTGCCAGAAAACGATTATGGGGTATAAATAGTTTAGAAGTTAAGAGACAACAGATGAATCAAGTATTCATATAATGTACGTACCTGTCACTATCTACTTAAATGAAGTCTTCTATATAGGAATACCAGCCTATAAAATCTTCGTAACTTTAGAAAAAATTCAGTCTGGGTGACTGAATTTTTTTACTACTTTTTTTTACTACATTACTGCTGCCAGATGTTCATGTTTTATTTCCACCAATTTTCTTTCTTTCCAGGGTCTGTACGGCATGACGGAGACCACAGCATGTGTGTTCCAGAGTGTTCCGGGCGACAGCATCGACGTGGTGGCTGAGACTGTCGGCTACATTCAAGACCATGTGGAAGTTAAGGTATTTATTTACTAAGTGTATTTATTGACTATGAATGAATGACCAATATTTAGAAACACATAAAAGAGACGGATTAAGAAACCCATCTTTCTTAATAATAGCGGCTTTTACATAGCAAAATAAATTTAGATGGTAAGCCTATTCTTTTGAGATACATTGACATCATCGTCATCACATAAGCTACAAGACGTCTTCTCTTCCTTAAATATAGGTCTTTCGGAACAACTTCTAAATCAGCCGATTTGAGACTCATGCTAACCTTAAATACTTTAGAATGACTGTGCCCTATCAAAATATATTCAAATGATTTTTACATACATATTTTTCATGACTTCAGGTTGTTGACGAAAAAGGTGATATGGTGCCATTCGGTAGTCCAGGAGAACTGGTAGTGCGTGGGTATAACATCATGATCGGTTACTGGGACGACCCGGTGAAGACTAGGCAGGCGCTCAGCGAAGACGGCTGGCTAAAAACCGGGTGAGAGATTCTTAACCTTGATCCATTTGGTACAAAATATTGGATAAGGCAATATTTTTGTGTGTGTTGTGAAATGTGCTAAGATTTACATTTAGTGTCGAGGTATGTACCCAAGATGGGTTTTAGCTTCGTCTCAGGTAAATACTGAAAACGTTTAAATTGTATGGTTAATCCATAGATACAAGAACGAATCCATGACCTCTGGCTTATGCGTCACTTCTCTAAGCACTTCTCCTCATCATTAAGGCAGTTGGAAGTCATACGGAAAAAAATTGGTCTAATCAAAGTAAATAAGCTATTAAAACATATAAAGAAACATAAAATAATATTCTACTTTTAACATTTTAGGGACAAATTCACAATAAGCGAAGATGGATATGGCCGCATTGTGGGCCGACTGAAAGACATTATCGTTCGGGGTGGAGAGAATATCGCACCTAAAGAGATTGAAGATTTGCTGATCACACACCCTGATATTGAGGACTGTCAGGTAATCAATCATCATCACCCAGAAAGCCATGCTTAACCGCTAGTCTGCCGGTATATGAGACACAATAGAAAACACATTGTGTCTCGCGTATATCTGCGCTCCATACCACGGGTTAATTGCTATTGTTGTTGGAACCTGTGTATATACTCTAATGAGGAGTCGCATGGTATATAAAAGACTATGATGATCCAGTTATACTGAACTATAAAACAAGCAGTAGGATTACCTGATGGTAAACAATCAGCGCCGCCCAACAACACAAGGAGTTACTACAAGTGCGTTGCCGACCTCTTGTAGGTTATTAGGGATCAGGAGGATAGGGAATTTGAGGATTGAAGATGAGGGGGGGGGGAAGATAAGATAATAATTAGAAAAACAAAACCATTGCCCCACGCTAGAATTATCTCCTGTGTCCTGATTGCGTTTACTTCTAACACGCATCACATCCAGACCCGGAACAACAATTGGTGGATCGTGCAAAGTGTTGTTCCGTGCGGGAATCGAACCGTACAGTCGCCAACATTTTCTTATTTTCGTTACCAGGTAATAGGCATCCCAGATGAGAGGCTTGGTGAGGAGTTATGTGCAGTTCTGCGGGTCAAAGAAGGTGCTTCAGTGACGATGGATGAGGTCAGGCGCCACTGCGACGGTCGCCTCGCCCGGTTCAAAATACCCAGGGTCCTGAAAACGATCGAAGAGTTCCCGAAGACAGCTTCGGGAAAAATTCAAAAGTATCGTCTAAAAGAAATGATTGAATCTGGAAAACTGTAGTTGTTTTAATAAAATCTTTATTTATGTTTGTATTTATTCTATTATTTTATCATTCTAACTTTACCTACAGTTTTTTTTTTTTGAAAGATTTCTTCCAAATGAATATCTTACAGGCAACACGCAACAACTTCAATTTTCATAAATAAACCTCTCCTTCTATGTATATGATTCTCGTTTTTGTGGAAAAAGAGTCAATCGAACAACGCCTGATGGTAAGTGATCAGCACCGCCCATGGACACCAGCTACACCAGAGGAGTCACATGAATGATGAAAAAAAGAACAATAAAAAAAATTGATATCTTTTTACATAACATTGTCTATAATAAGCCACAGTAATTTTAACAGTTAACTTTTAGGTATTTATATAATGCAAGGTAGTTACAATTTATATTATTATTTTTACAATTATGTAATACTTCTTATTAACAAGGACTTAGGATATTAAAGCGGCCGGGGTTGCGGGTTCAGCGCAATGAGTCACCGCGGCCTCGGCCCAGAGCAGGAGAAAGAACGGAGGGGTTTTTAGTCAGTTAGAGTCTGACAATCTCTCTCGCCTTACCCTGGGCGGAAGAAGTCATTTAATGATTTTACCCTGACAAAAAAAAGCTATTAAAGCGACATATACGACGATAATAATCCATCCTCACATCTTTATGTGTCCCGTTATCATCAGACGACCTTTAACTTTGTTTCTGACGATGAAACTACCTAGGTCTAAAAAATGACCTACAAATAAAACCCAAAACGTGTGAAGTCCACATTTAATGCATAAAAGTCTAATATAAACCTAAAAGGCCTTATTACAAAAAAAGGTTTAACTTTAGTCTAGGACTAAACCATTGAGCCAGTTTTTTTTATTTATAAAAAAAACTATTCGATCATAAACTTTGACTTTTAAACCAGAAATCCTGTATAGGTACTTGTAATACAAATGATATTTTAATGGTAACTGAAATTGTATAAAATAACCATTGGGTGACTTAGAACGATAGAAATAAGCAAAAATAGTATACTAGCTTATACTATTTTTGCTATGTATTTTTTTTCTTTAATTAGTTTATATTCGAAGTTTTAGACCTTCCCTGTATATCCAGCAATATTTCAAGACCACAATAAGTCATGTCGGTTCAGCCTTTCTCGAGTTTAATCGTGAGTAACGAACTGCGATTCATTTTTATATAAGAAATTATGCTGTTCGCAGATTTACCATAGCAGCGCCATCTATTGATTACTTACTCAACCCAGTCGAAAGGTATTGACATCTGTTAGAATCATTTGGAGTTAACAGATAATTGTGACTGACAAATAATGACAGACAAATAATTAGCAATAAATTAAAATTGCGACTATAATTTGAGATTTAAACTATCCTATCTCTCATGTTGGATCGAACTGCACATTATGTGCGAATTTTATGATAATCAGTTAAGTGGTTTAGGAGTCCATTGAGGACAAACATTGTGACACGAGATTTATATATATTAAAGAAGATGAATTTTAATTAATCTAAAAATTGTAAATCAGACTCGTAAGCTTATTCAGCATAACAAATACTTTCTTAAACACAACCACATTCTGACTAAAAAAATGATAAAGCTATATTGTTTGACTATTAGAAAGCATTTGATACATTGCAAGAGAAACCCTTATTAACTAATTAGATATATTCGGATTAGTGGTTTAATGATTACCTCACAGAGCACTCCTATCGCGTAAGGGTAATAGTTTACAGTAAGTGACGGAGGTACGGAGCGGAGCGCTGCAAGGATCAGGTCTTGGTCCTATTTTGCTACTTCATTAATTTCAACATTTATGTAGAGTGTCGTTTCTCGTTATTAATTAACACAGACGATCTGTGTGTATTACCCGCAGGAACCAACATCATTGAAATTTGTCAGGTAATGCAACAAGACATGATGGTTCCGTGATATATTAATATTTTTAATAGATAAAGTCTAAAACAATCAACACAGTTAAGATTACATAACTCTAAATTACAAATATTCCTGAACACAACATTCAATAGTTAGTTAGTTAATACGCTTCGTTAGAAGAGACAGTAAAGGTGAAGTAACTTTATTTTGTTTTGTTTTGTTTTAGTAACCAGTTACAGTTTTATATTTTCCTTATTTAAGCGTTTAGAATAATTATTGGTCAAACCGGTCATTTGGTATTTGGTTCTCTAGATAGACTAGATAAAGAAGACTAATTAATTAAACTTAAGCTGTATTATCTTTCAAATACAGTTTCTTTCTTTCGTTCTATACCAGTGGATGATATAAAGGTTACAGATCTCTGTAACAAATCGAAATATCAGAGAATTATGTTAAGCCTTTGCCCACATGTACTATATGAAGGTTTTTTTCCTGTTTCGTGGGTGCGTTTACAAACATACAATTTCATAAACACATCACACTCAGACATTGTTGTTCCATGGACAACAATTTGTGGGTCACACACAGAGTTGTTTCGTCCAACCAGTCGTTATTATTGATGTTATTTGTCTTTAGTGATATATTTTTTAGTAATATAGTAATTTACTTTTCAGGTTAAAAATTGCAACATCGTCGTGAAATGTCGACTTCTGTATTTCACTTTCAGATGAAAAGTTCTTTGCAACTTTCTATAGCATTCTCCAGAACTGGTTAATAGTTAAGAAAATTATCTGAGGCTACAATTGGTTTAATATGTGATATGAGGTCTTATACATTTATTTATTTTATATTTCACACCTGTACACCACTTACCTAGTTACAAAGACTATACAAATATTGTTTATAAGAGTGGTCTTATCGCACAAGGCGATCTCTTACAGACAACCTTTGGATGAAGCTGTAATAGAAGTTTGAAATATGGGTTGTCAAGTGTACAATGTGCGTCTAAATACAACATAACTATATAATACATACAAATATAACTTATTATGTTAATCAAAGAAGTAAGCAACAATTAATCGTACTGTTTAAGTTGAAGTTTGGTCGGCCTTCCGCTAAGTTGATTGACAACATTGTTAAGAGTTGGATCATCGGAGAGGAAGTATATTTTGAATGGGATGAAGTAGCGAAGGCTTTTGTTCAGCAATTAACATGTCTTAGCTAATAATAACTATGAATTAAAGTTTACGAAACACCACTTACTGTACACACTTTTTGTTGACTTTCTTGTCAACACAATCTCAAAATCAAACCGAACCGCATCGAATTTGAGATTTCGAGTATTGCAAAGATGCAATTTTATACCGCGACTTGGTTTGGCACAGGTTAGGTTTTTGTCAGCGTGAGCGACAGTCAGACCTCGACCAAGGCGGGACGAGAAATTGGATATGACTGTCATTTTGCCTTTGTGACTTTAATTTTAAACCTCAAAAACTCATAAACTTGTACCATGAAGTATAAGATTAAAAGCTTTCCAAGCAATTTTGCATTCAACACTTTGAACACATTCACACCACAAGAAATACAAGATAGAAAATAATATAGAAACAATAATGACGACTAGTTATAAAACAGGAGAAGATAATGATAATTATGGAAAGAAACATTGTGAAGCTATTTTAGATCTCTTACTTGATGAAGGAGTAAATGGAAGAATTGTGGAAGCGGGAAACACTAAAGAATAGATACGTTTATGTTTGCAATTAATTATGTATTTGTCGTTCATGTTGTAAGTATTTGATGGCTACCACTTTCCTAACGTTCTAATAATAAACACCTCTCTAATAGGGGAGGTCATAAACAAAAGAGGAAGTGGAGTCGAGCCACTCCCTCTCGGCTCATCCTGGGAGAGAAGTAATTTGATGATTTTCCTCTCCAAAAAAGGGGCGGCCATGAAGGTATTTCAGTAGTTACTCAAGCCTGTCAGATAAACATATGGAGAATACCTATTATCCTTTTTTTTTTTTTTTTTTTTTTTTTTTTTTTTTTTTTTTTTTTTTTTTTTTTTTTGGTTTCGGGTTGGAAAATCCTCATGGAGACCCACCGCTCTCGGGGTAAGGGCGAAGGGTACTGTCAGACTCTTACTGACTAAAAACCAACCCGGTGTTCCTCCAATAACCCATGTGTCGGAGGGGCGGGTATCGCCGAAGCATTCGTCGCAACCCCCCGACGGGTATTGGCCCGCCAGATGGTAAGGCGGGCCCCGTCACCCACTGCGGCCGTCACCCCGACCGCAGGACTCCACTATGAGGCGCGCGCGGAACACGGCACCGCCGCCTCGAGGCCTGCTGCTGGTCGGACGACTAGACGCCCCGAGTCTGTCGTCCGCAGGCCGCGCCCTACGGTGGCCGCAGGTCGGCCACTCTACGACGTCTAGTGCGTCTGCTGCGGGAGGGAAGAGAGGAGGCAGCCTCTCTCTCCCTTTCCGCCGCCTCCTTTGCGAGCATCACGGCCTCGCAAAAGATAGCGACGGCACTCCACCCTGACTCGCTCCCGACCATAGTAGACACTACAGCCGGAAGCGAGAGATTTCCCGCAGCACCTACGGCCGCGACCAGGTCACGGCGCTGCTCGGCCCAAGCTGTACATTCCGCCAACGTATGCAGCGCCGTATCGTCGCGGCAATTACCACAATGGTGGCACTGAGACGTCGGCTCCCGGCCTATGCGACACAGGTACTTCCCGAAACACCCGTGTCCGGTAAGCACCTGCGTCAGCCGGAAGCTGAGGGCGCCGTGGCTCCTATTGAGCCACTCCTGTAGAATTGGCCTTACCGCCGCTATAGCGGCGTGCCCCGCCGTGGGTTGCGCTAAACGCGTCTGCCACTCCGCCACTAAGGCCTGGCGGAGTTCTGCCCTGCGTGCCTCAACCTGTCGAGGCACCAGGCGCTCGCCCCGCTCGACTGCCTCCGCACGCCACCAATAGAGTGACGCGAGGAGCTTTGCGTCGAGGTCCCAGGGCGGGGATCCGGCTAGGAGGCTCGCTGCCTCAAAGGAGATCGTACGGTATCCCCTTATTATCCTGACGGCCATCGCGCGCTGTGGCCTTCGCAGCGCAGCGATGTTGCGAGCCGTCAGGGCTCCCGCCCACAC